GTGGGAAGCACTTTTAGCAGAGACTTTAGCGGAAACTTCAGTGGAGGCGGGAGGTCGGGCGCGGTGCCCCGACGCGAGTTCCAGGCTTGTTTTCCGCAAATCTAACCTGTCTCCGAACCTCCCAATGACTTTGCCTTACTCTAAGAAACACTGTTCCCACTGCAGACCCTGTAAAAAGTGTCTAAAGTTAGTGTTTGGTGCGGTATAACACTCACAGGCTGCCCCGCAGCTGCATTCGCTTCACTATGATTTCTGCACTGGTTCGACGCGGTCTTGCTCAAATGTTTTGTATGGGAGCAAAACGTTTTTTGGGGCCGGGGAGGTAGTCTGACATGTCTGCCAACTAGTGGCAGGGAGTATGAATGAATTTTGACACTCAGTTGGACACACTCGGCCGTTTTTAACAGTAGCGCAGCTTGTTGACTTAAGTCGACCGTGGCGCCTAGAGGGTTAACAACTATCGTCCCATCTCAAATCTGCCATTTATGGGGAAAGTCCTTGAAAAAGTTGTCTACCTCTAGCTTACTAGATTTCTTATAATCAACAACTCATTTGATATGATTCAGTCCGGCTTTAGACCCCAACACAGCACTGAGACTGCCCTAGTCAAGGTTACAAACGATATCCGGCTGAACACTTACGCAGGCCAAGTCTCAATCTTAGGCCCTGTTTATACTGAGACGCTGTGCAGACGTTTCCAGGCTATTAACAGAAACGACCAAGCTCCTAATGCAAATTTCTCAGCGTTCACATGAGGTTGAAAAACGATGTAGTTCTAGCGCCCGGCCAGTAGTGGGCAGAGAAAATTTACAACACGACAGCCCCGTGCCCAGCCCCCTCTCGGCAGTATACTCACTTCCTGTGCCAGACCCTCAGAAAGTACCAACATCATTCTGCATTTTAACAGCAGTTGTGAACATGGAAACTGAACCTAGAGCTCCGCGTGGTCTCGTTTGGACGAACGAAAGTGTAGAATTATCCTCTGTGTCGCGCTCGAAGCCCGCGTAGCTAGTTAGTGTGCGCGGCGCCATTGTTGTTTTTGTTTGTTCTCCGCTACTGCGCATGTCCAAATTTACGTGCGGGGAGCAGCGGGGAGGTGGGGGTCAGAGCAGAGGGGGATTTCACACCTTTTTCCGTCTCGCGGGTGTGAAAGAGAGCCCCCGCTGTGCAGCGTTTCTGAGTTGTCCCACTCTGCAGGCTGGATCTGAACACTTACGTTTTCACCTCCCTGAAACACACTATACCGTTTTACTGCCACATTGTCTCCATGTAAACTCAGCCTTAAAGACCTTATGACGGGTTTTAAAAAAAAAAAATAGTGGATATCAAAATTGCATGACAATGTCAATTTGAAAGAGACTCCGGCAAAAAAAATCCTATATTTTATAAAAAGAACGTGTTTTTCATGAATTTAAGTTGTCTATGCTCTAACCTGTGTGTGACGTCATAGCGGGTTACGGCCATGCATTGAAAACCATGGATCTATGCCACAGGACTGCCTTTTCTCTCTTCTCTCCACTGATGCCCAACACAATACTGCACTCTACAGGTGACAATTGCTCACCAGACATAAATTGCCGTTTTGAGTGTGAAAACGTGTCCGAGGCGAGTGGATGCAAAACCACTTCCTTCAGCTAAACGCGGACAAAACTGAAATGATTGTCTTTGGTCCCCAGAAACAAAGAGAGAGTGTCATCTGTCACCTCCGGTCTCTCTCACTAAAACCTTCAAACAAGGTCAGAAATCTAGGGGTAATACTCGACTCAGACTTAAATTTTACTAGCCACATTAAATCAGTAACATCAGCAGCTTTCTACCACCTAAAAAACATTGCCAGGATCAAAAACATAGTGTCTAAAGTAGACTTGGAGATTCTTATTCATGCATTTGTCTCCAGTAGGTTAGACTACTGCAATGGCCTGCTCACAGGTCTGTCCAAACAGGCTGTAAAACAGCTGCAGTACATTCAAAATGCAGCAGCTCGAGTCCTGACTAGAACCAGGAAGTACGACCATATTAGTCCGGTCCTCAGGTCTCTACACTGGCTTCCTGTGGCTCAGAGAATAGACTTTAAAACAGCACTGCTTGTGTACAAGTCTCTCCATGGCCTCGCACCAAAATATATGACATGTTAGTCCCATATGAACCAGCCCGGACTCTGAGGAGCACAGGGACTGGACTCCTGTTAGTGCCCAGAGTCAGAACTAAACATGGGGAGGCTGCTTTTCAGATTCTTGCTGCTAAAATCTGGAACAATTTTCCTGAATATGTGAGACAGGCCTCCTCTCTGACCATGTTTAAAACCAGGTTAAAAACAGTTCTGTTTAGCTGTGCATACAACTGAGGGATTTTATATTTTTATCTATCTTTTTAATGTTCTGTGATTATTTATGATTTTAATGCTTTCTTGTTCAGCACTTTGAGTTGCCTTGTGTATGAATTGTGCTATACAAATAAACTTGCCTTGCCTTCCCAAACTCTTATTAACTCATTGTATTGAGAAATATTAAACAGAGCTTAATGTCAAGGCCTGGATTCAAGCACTTTGATGAGAATGACTTTATATTGTGAATATACTGTCGGCTACAGAGTATAAATTTTCTCCTGGTGGTGTGCCGCGAGAGTTTTTCAATGAAAAAAGTGTGCCTTGGCTCAAAAAAGGTTGAAAAACGTTGGTGTAGAGGATTAGGGTTAGATAGAGCAGTTTAATATGACTAACATACTAAAATAGTTATTTGAGTTAGATTAGTACAGCTCTAAATAAAAAATACATCAATCCCAAAAAAGACTAGGGAAAACTAAAACATGGTCAACATCTGTGAAAAGGAAATGTTACATGCCTTGTCTCCTTTAAAGGCGCTATACCCTTTTCTGCAAGGTTTGAATGTTTAGCACTGCCCCCCAACTCGCTCAATGGCTTCTCATTTCCCCTACGCTCTCATAACACAGAGCCCTCTAGTTCAATTTGCGATCTGACATGTATGCTAACATTATTAGCATTAGCACAACTTCTTGTAAGCTGTACAACATTCACCGAGAAATGGTACTAAAGCAACGCACTGCTAACACAATATATAGGTTAAAGAATACTGCTAGTTTTGCATCAAAATTTATTCATTAAAACATTAGAATATATTCGAATATTTAATTATAATTTATTATACAGCTCCTCACAGCAGCAGTAGAACACTCCATTGACTTGAATGTAATTCTACCGATAATTTTTTAACAGAACTCTCAAACCAATAATGACCTCGGCCCTTTGACAATGCAATCTCCGTTTGTAATTCAGGTGTGTAAAATACTGCCATTACTCCACAAGTACAACGAGAGAAGCTAGTGGAGCTAGCCGAGCTAGCCACGCTCAATAAACAACTACATATCTATCAATCAACATGTTAAATGTTAATTGGACAATACTGTATACATTATCCTTAACACACATGCACAGACTTTTTCAGAATTTCTTGTTATCGTTTTCATGACCAAATTACTATTTTAATGTGACAAAAAGCGATCGCAAAAAACCCGGAAGTAACCATTGACATGTAGTTCCAGGGAGCTAGCTAGCTGTTAACTGCCTACCACGTCCCGGTGAAAAGTTGGGAACTAACTATTTTATTTGCAGTTATTAAATACATTTCGAATTGTAAGGGCTGTCTAATATGTGTTCAACTCTATATATTTTTATTTTATTTTAAAATTATATTCGCATTTCGAAGCCGAAGCCCTAGTTTTTAGCAGCGCTATAGGGGCTAGAGGACGTAGGCTGTTCGCTGCTCGTTCTGTGAGCGGAGGAGAACGAGCGGCCCGGTCAGACTCTACTCAGCACTTTTCACTGCCTGAATTTCATACACAGTGGAATCAATGACCTCAAGTTTTCAATTAAATTACGGATTATAATACAACTTGTATGAAGTAATAGGCATTTTTATCAACTACTTAGAAAAAAAGTCGGGTATAGCTTCTTTAATGTCAAACAAACTATGGGACATTTCCAGCCAGCAAAAAGCATTTAGTCAGCCACCAATTGTGCGAGTCCTCTCTAAAAAATGTGAGATGGGTATAGTTCAACTATGAGAGACAAAATTAGAAAATCACATTTTAAAAGAGTATATTTGCAAATTATGGTGTAAAATAAGTATTTAGTCAATAGCAAAAGTCCATCTAAATATCTAAAAATAGTTCTATTTCCTTTGTTGGCAATGACAGAGTTCAAACGTTTTCTGTAAGTCTTCACAGTTTTCACATACTATTTCTGGGATTTTGGCCCATTCCTCCATGCAGATCTCTTCTAGAGCAGTGATGTTATGGGGCTGTTGCTGGGAAACATAGACTTTAGTTGTAGAGCAAGAGTGAGATCGACGCGCACATCCAATTCTAAGTTACATCCAATTCTAAGTTGGGAGCAAAAGCTGTGCAGAGTCATCTCCAAATATAATCTATGGGGTGAGATCTGGAGACTGAGGCCGCTCTAGGACCTTGAAATACTTCTTATGAAGCCACTCCTCCGTTGCCTGGGCGACGTGTGTTTGAGATCATGCTGAAAGACCCATGTTTCATCTTAGGTTATCACTCAAAAGCTCACAATATATGACCCGATTCATTCTTTCCTTTCCATTGATAATTTGTTCTTGTCTCTTTGCAGAAAAACAGCCCTAAAGCATGATGTTTCCACAACCATGCTAGGTAGTGTTCTTAGGATGCAGTGACAGACATATCCCCCAGCCCATACCTGCCCTGACCTGTCTATAAATGTGTTCACATTTTGTCTCACATGGTTGAGGTATACCTGTGATGAAAATTAAAGTAATTTCTAGTATTTTTAAATGGGAGAACTTGCACAATTGGTGGCTGGCTAAATACTTTTTTGCCCCACTGTATAACGCTATTTAACAGGATAGCATAACGTTATTTGTGCACATAATAGTGTACATTGACAAAGTGACATAACAAACAAAGACAAATTGATTTTTTTCTAAAATCAATTTCTCCAGGTGTTAGTTATTTGAAGGACTCTCCAGATACACAATCCTCTGCTCCTTCACCTCTTCGGCCATCTGCTCCTCTGAAACTTCTCTTCTCTCATCAACTTCCCCAAGACCATGCTCTTCCTCTGTGGACACCATAATGTTGTAGACACCTCCTGTTCCGCTCTGGAACGCCTTCTCCAAATCCGCTCTCCCTAAAGCTGCCATGATCTGCTCCTCAGAGAGATCAGTGTCTTCTTCTAGCAGACCAGATTCCGCCAGGGTTTGGGAGACGTTCAGCTCTGCCACAATGGTCATTGTTCCGTCTTCACTGGACCTTTCTACTTTGCGTATGTCTACGGCCACTTTGTCTGGGCTTTCACGGCTGATTTTGCTGAGGTAGGCTAGCTCCTCTTTCAAAGGCCCAGATATAGATTCCTGTAGCTTCTCCAAAGCACCTTTTAGTTGGTCCTTCGGTTCTAATGAGTCTTCACGAAGAAATTCTAGCACAGATTCTTGCACAATTGGTGAAACTCGAACCTGTTAAAAGACAAAAGATGTTTTATTTGATTTATTCAATAACCCAGTTTTCTATGTCTAACAGAGACACTTTTGGGGACAATAATGAAAAACATTAAGTTATATGTTGAAGTGTTCCAAAGATTGCTCCACGAATTAAGATACACATTGTTTTTTGTTCTAAATTTGGGCACATACACCATTTCCTCTTACATACTTCATATTTGTCATGGAATAAGTTTTGTACATTATGTGCAGAGAGTTTCCAGATGACTTGAACATTATTTGAGCAGCTTAAGCTTCTTTAAATTCTATGAACAGTGGATTAGAATCATCTATATAGTGGCCATTACAATTCTAATGGCCTTTTATGTGGTGTCTAAAGTTGTGAGATTTGTAACAGTTCCCCTACGCTTCAATAAAATATTGTGATCTAACTTTATAAAGTAACGATAAAAGAGCAAAACATTGGTGTTCAGTAACTGACTTGATCTCTTCACCATTCCAACACATTTAGCAACTTTGGTCCTGTGGTAACACATGTGAGGTCATGTGAAGACATCTTTTCATCTATTATCACTTTTTTGTTATTGGGTATCATCAATAACAATCCTAACTGGTAAACAACTTTTACATTTTGTAATATTCCATTTCTATTAATTTACATACATACCAAGGCCAACATATGCTCCAAATCATCTACAGCACATAATATTTGTGTCAAACTAAAAAATGGACCTTATTGACGTTGATATTTTGCAGAGTTTTGGCTGCAGCCAAAACTCCTTTTATAATCGATTGACAGCACTATTGCACTATTGATTGATTAATTAGACATTATGCATTTTAATATTTTCACTGGTCTAACAAAATTGACACAAAATTAATTGTTTAATAAGAACTGTAGCAATCGATACTACATCCAACCAGGGTTTATAATCTGAAAATTCCATAAACCGAGCTGTATGTAGCATTAACTTCCATGTTCTAATGCTGAAATGTTTGAACCAAGCCAGTCTTTTTCTGTCTCAGCTCTTAAAGAGACAAGAAAGAATAGAATTGTATCTGTAAATACACAAGTGAAACTCAGATCATGTTAAATATCATGGAAAAAGTTAATTTATTTCTTTAATAATAATTAAATAAATAATTTATTATGTGAAACTTTGTTTGAATGTTCTTACTTGGAAAAAACCTGACTCTCTACAACCAAATGAATGTTGGTCTTTCGCACAAAAGCTATTATTTTTTTGATATTCTGCTTGTGCCATTGTTCTTCTTGTTAGTTTTGTTTAGATTATTTATTTAATGATCTTCAGTCTCACTGAGAATTCAGAATCATTTGGATACAATGATCAATTTTCTCCAGAGCTTTCCAAAGAGGACATTTCCTCCACTGAATCATTTATAGCATGTATAGTAGACCTGTGCTGTCTAAACCCATATTGACTTTCAGGATTTTATTGAAAGTTACATAAAATATTTGTTTCAGTGTTTTGGTCAACTGTGAATCTCCCGAATCAAACTTTTGCCATTTTCTAGAATAGTTGTAGATTTGTGTAAAAGGTTTCTCCTGCTACAGTTTGTACAGTCTCCAGTGAGTCAGCAGAGAAGCATCTGAAAGTTCATCAAAGCTGCTAAATCATGATGGTCCAGTCACCCCAAATAGAAAAACTTCCTGTTTTTTTTAACGGAGTAAAGTTGAACTATTGAACATTCTATCAACCCCATTTTCTATTGATATCGAACACGTGTCTATTGCGGTATATATCGTTATTGTTTTATCGCCCAGCACTAACTAGTATACTGTTAAGATATGGTAATCTTTGACACGATAATAGAATTGATTACAAAAAACCTCCACACACCTCTTCCTCAATTATGCATTCCGGAAAGCCTTCTTTGAAAGGCGAGCGGTCACCAGTCAGAAACTTGAACTCTTCACTCTCTTCAAGAGTGGCCCCTTGAGGGAGTATTTCATCTCGGTAATACCGTTCGTCAGAAAGGTCCTCCACAATTCCATAATGGCCGTATGAAGTGATTTCGCAGCCTTCCTTCAGTCCTGAGAAGTTATCTGGGGTAGATATAAAATATTCCTCTGATACCAAAGATGAATCACTTTTTCTAGAAACCTGTCCTGCATTCAATGGCAGGTTTTCCAATTCCTCAATGTGAAAATATGCTTGTTCTTCATTTTGTGTCATAATTTCCTCATTATCACTCATACTCTCCACTGGCTCCTCAATAATTTCCACATTGATTAACTTGTTTGACATATCCTCTCCTTCCTTCATCCCGCTGAGCAGATTCTTGATCATACCTGCTGTGGACGAATCCTTGATATCCTCCAGTGACATCTTCTTAGTTCCTTGGTGTAAAAATTCATCCAAATCGGAATCTTTTGATATATCCAACTCTTCCTCAATTTTGGACTCCAGAACTATCCGAGTTTTCAGGGTTCCATCTTCCTCCACGGTTTTCTCTATGTGATAGCGAACTTTGGGATCTCCTGGTGCCTCGGAACTTGGTTTGATAGCTTTCTCAATCATCTCCTCAACAGATAATTTATTCTTGCTGGTTGGTTCTACTGACCTGTCGGTTAGACTACTGTCAAATGCATTTTCTTTCATCTGGCTCTTTGAATAATTGCTTTTGCTTGTCCTAGCGCTCTTTTCCTCTTTATAGATAATTGAACTTTGGTTGTTAAACTGAGCACTATTTGTCTCAAATTTTACAGTAGGTGGGACATCTTTGGCTGAAATGCTGGACTGGGCAGCTCTTGCATTGGTGAAGGTGATCATGTCCCTCCTGGCGGCAGAGCTTTGGTTGCGAGACATCGAAATGGGTCGAATCCTGGGTGAGCTGAGGGCCCCAGAGTTGGGAACAGAAGGTCTTTTGTAAGAGGGCCTGAAGTCGGGTAGGTTCCAAATGGATGAGTGGGTTTGCGGAGAGTAAGGCTGGGGACGCGCCTTGCTTTCTGATGACAAAAAGAACAGGAAAAGATAGTTAGACATAACATGAAATGGATAAACAATGACACCCTTGATAATATCCTGTTTGTTGACTAAGTCTGCTGATAACACCATAATAAATAAAAAGCTTATACCAAGTACTTTGGGGAGATTCAGAGATCATGCAGGTACTAAAGGACCTTATTAGGGCTGGGAATCACTAGGCCCCACTCTATAATAAGCGATACATCGCTCACAATACTATCACAATATTGCAATAGTGCCATGATTGATATATTGGTCATACACAGTAATTGGTAATATATTGGTCAAATAATCATATAATGACCAATATATGGGTATGACGTTAAATTGCATCCAACATTTTCCAATGCAGGACACTAAAAGGCAGCAAAGAAGCTCTGGCAGTTGGGCATCTGGGACAACCACCCTAGTGATGGACAAGAGGTCTGTCAGTGTCCGAACTGACACTGCGTGCACCACAGCAGCAGGTGGTATTTTACCACCTCAGGCAACTGCCTCTATGAAGCAGAAGTGCTTGACGGGACTAAGTAGTCTCAGACTGGGCCAAACTCTGCAGGGCAGCTGCTGGTGAAACAGGCCGTCGGGATAATTTCCTTCTGTCTGATCCCATTCTCCAGTGGCTCAGAGAAAAGAATACCAGTACAAACTCCTCCTCCTTAAAATCTGTTCCAAAAAAGGCCATATAATTAAAGTGTGTGTGAGGGGTTTTACAAAAACTTATAGCTTCTACTTCACGGATTTCTCTTATCACGGGTTATTTTTCTATCCTTTGCCCAAGTACAAATAGTTCACATCAAGATCTGTGTCAAACAGCATAAACATTGAGGTCCGCGTATTTTTCGTTCAATCGTTTTTTCAAATTAAAATGGAAAATTGAATATCAAAAAAATCCGTGTACCCTTCGAATCCGTGTACCCTTCGATCATTAGTTATTCCGTTTCAAAACAAAATCAGAAAAACAAATTACGTGGTTGTTTTATTGTATTTCCATTTTCTAAATTAAATTGGAAAATCAAAACATTCTAAATGAAATATTCACCCATTTCTTTGCTATGCAGTGGAAACAAACACTACTAAAACAACTTCCATTATTTTGTTTGATATGCTACCGGAAATGATGAGTGGTGAGAGACGGAAACAACTGCAAGCTGCACTCAACTCAACTCAACTACACGACAACAACTCGCGCTGTTGTTGAGCTCGCCCCCAGGCCCGAGCTCCAGGGGTAAAATGCTTACAGCACCTGGTATTCCCAGGCGGTCTCCCGTCCAAGTACTATGGGGAAAACTTTGTGCGCGCTGCTCTCAAACAGAGAGAGCCGGCTTTCTCCATTCATTCTGGATTACACACGCACTCGATAAGTCTCCTCTGATAAACACAATGTTTTTGTGCTCGTTCTTTATGTTTCACTCCATAAATCTCTCATATTGTGCGTAGATCGTTCACACACGTCTGTAGTTTAAATCTCGAGTGTGTAGTGCGCTGTTTATGATTGTTTACCTCCGTGTCATATGTTTGTTGCTGCTGCTGCTGCTCGTAGATCTGTTTGGATCAATATTGTAAAGAAAACACTTTCTCTGCGTTGTCAAACAATCTGTATTCACTGTATTCTACTCTATACAGTAATGCAGTTTTTTTACGTCTGGTTGTAGTAGTATTTCCAGCGCTAACTAATTATTATTAGCTAATTATTGTTGATGTGTGTACTATCTATATGTATTTCACATTTCTATAGTTCAGCAACACATTGAGTTGAAAATGAATTATATGCAGTTAGTTTACGACAATGTATTAGTGTTTTACCAGTTCATATTTTCCTTCTATAACTGTACTTACTGTATCCCAGAGCCTCATGCTGCTAATGTCCAGATGTAAACATACAACTGTATATGTCTTCTCTAGATTATACAGGATTCATGCTTCTTTATAATGCTAAATTTAATTATTTTATTCTTTATTATGCTAAAGATATATACATTATACATACTTCTCTATCATGCTATAGCTAGATATTTTATGATCTTTTTTTGTTGTTGCAGACAATATAAAGACATTTTCATTCTTTCCTGGCCGCGTCACTGTGATTTTTCGCAAGGGCCCACGTGGATTCCTGCTGCAGGACCCTTCGGAGGAGGCGAGGAAGATCAGGGACGACCCGTCCATGAGGGAGTGCGGTGCTCCTCTGAGGGAGGAGGTGGTGAGGGAGAACGCCCTCACTCTGGTGCGAGTGAGAGGAGGTGATGCCTCAGACAAGGCTGAAGTGCTGCGGGAGTACATCGTTCGCTCACAGCAGGCAGTAAGATCAGCACCGTGCCTGTTGTCACCATGCCCCCTGCAGCAGTGAACCCCCCTCCTCCTGCTCAGACTCTCATGTCACCGCTGTCTGAGGAGGCCATAGAGAAGGTTGTGCAGCGGATCTTGGAAAAGCAGCAGCAGCCTCCAGCAAATAAACCCCACACAAAGAAATGCCTGTCTTGTGGCCAGCCAAAATCCAAATATGAGGGCGATGGCAGCTCCATCCACGAGTTTTACCAGCCGGGTCCTACCAGGTATTTCTATTGCTCCACCAAGGTCTATAACACCTATCGCACAGAGGGTTTGACCAACTCCAGGATGCCATTCCGAGACTTTATGGACACTTGAGTTCTGCCAGAGAGAGCTGGAGGCCACGCAGCAGAGAGTGAATGAGCGGCAGGAGAAGAAAAGGAAGAGAGATGAGTCTCCTGCCACTGGGAGAAAGTGCGGGTTCTGCAAACTGCAGCTGAAGCAGGGACCAAACAGTCCTCACATTCATACACAATTCCCTGGTCTGTCAGGAAAATACATCTACTGCCCTGCCAAAGTATTCTCCCTGTACAAGGACCAGGGGATGGAGATGCAGATGTTCCAGCAGTCTCCTTTTTATGACCGGGAGAGGGAAAGGTGGCGTGTAAATAAATGAGCTATCTGCTGTCTATTGGTGCTATTGTATATAGTTACTATATTATACCTGTCTGTTCATAAATGTTTATAAATATTCTAATTATTATGTAAATATATACTTAATATTAATTATATCTAATTATATAATTTCATTTGTAAAGTCTGCATCTACAGTTCTGTATAGTCAGCTCTCAGCCGTCACAATCACAGGGCTCATCACACAAATACTAGTTTAAGAAGATAAAGATAGCATGTTGTTGTTTTTCTTCTAAGTGTATTTCTTAAATTTGTAAATATCTCTTTTTTCATCTGTTCACAATAAATATATTATAATGTCATACATTATTGAAGTCTTTCTTTTTATTGATCATATTTCAGGGCAAACAGTAGTATTTGACAAAACAATCTGTATAGAAAATAGAGTTTCAGTTCAGTGCCAATCAACAAAATGCCCACTATACGCGGCTGGCCCCCGCGGCCCGACCTTGCCTAGCTTCCGAGATCAGACGAGATCGGGCATTCTCAAGGTGGTATGGCCGTAAGCACGGGGGTATGGAGCAGCGTGCCTCCTGACCCTGCTGCTGCGGTCCTATCCTCCCCCAGAATGAGCGCTCAGGCCTGGGTCTGAGCGGGAGCAAAGCCCTCCCCGGTGATAGCCCAGAACCGGAGGAGTGTGTGGGTGAAAACCCCGTGTCTCTAGCACCCCTGGTTCGTTTTTGACAAGCCCTGGAAGCCGAGGTTCTCCTCCCCCAAAATGAGCGCTCTTGGGCGGATGGTAGACGCGCGATCCCCCGGTGGTTTCCAAGGGCCATAACTTTCTGGTCCTTTATCCCCCGCGCGTCAAATTCACACCGCGGGTACCCCGGGATCAGGGGAGTCCCACCCCCGCGTCTGTAGCCCCCCTTCCGCGAGGTCTCTTCTCTCTTCCGGTGTCGCAAATAATAATAAAACGAAATAATAGTAATGCCATAATTCTTTTGAGAATTTTAAACAACTAGAGCCAAAACAAACACATTGATATTGAAGCATAAAGGATTTGATTTTCCAATTTGATTTAGAAAAGGAAAATAACAATAAACGAATGGAAAATTTGTTTTTCTGATTTTATTTTGAAACGGAATAACTAATGATCGAAGGGTACACGGATTCATCCGTGTACCCTTCGATCATTAGTTATTCCATTTCAAGATGGCGCCTCGTACGGTCGACATGGCTCTTTGCTGCTCTCTTTTTCTTTTGTTTTTACTTTTTAACTGTGCATCTGGCTGTTCCTACTCCCGTGAGGAACTTATGAACATCCGACCCACCGTTCCCATGGACCTATTGCCTGTTTTCTTGGCATCTGCGGCTGATTTAGTTCATGTTCTAGCCAAAAAAGTGTGGGCCGTAAAAGGGGAAAGCGCGGAGGCCTGCTCGTGCGACTTAGGAGGAGAGGAGCGCGCACGGCTCTCCCCGGCATTTTTCTCTCCAACGTACGCTCACTGGGCAATAAGATGGACGAACTCAGCCTGCTCATGAGAAGAAACAAGGACTTCGCCACATCCTGTGTCCTCTGCTTCACTGAGACCTGGCTAAATGAGCGGATCCCGGACTGCGCTCTGGAGCTGCAGGGCTTTGGGCTGTTCCGCGCGGATCGCCATTGTGCGCTCTCAGGGAAGAGCAGAGGCGGTGGGCTGTGTTTCTACGTCAATACAAACTGGTGTAAAGATGTGACAGTGATCTCCAAGCACTGCTCTCCTGCTCTGGAATATCTTTTCATCCATTGTAAACCATTTTACTCCCCGCGTGAAATTGTTTCATTCATTCTTGCCTCTGTTTACATACCGCCATGCGTGGACGCGCGCGAGGCTCAGCTCGCACTCGCAGAGCAAGTACTGTGTATGGAACGCTTATACCCGGACTCTGATTATTATCCTGGGGGATTTTAATAAGGGAAGCTTGAGCCAGGAATTACCCAAATACAGACAGTTTATCAAATGCCCGACCAGAGAGGAGAACACTCTGGGTCACTGTTACTTCACCGTGCGCGGAGCTTTTCGCGCTGTTCCCAAGGCAGCCCTCGGCTTCTCAGATCACTCCATGATACATCTGGTTCCTGCTTACAGACAGAGACTAAAGCTCTCGAAACCTGCAGTGAGGAGCTCCAAAGTGTGGTCTGATGAAGCTGTGGAAGAGCTGCGCGCATGCATGGAATCTACAGACTGGGACCTTTTCAGAGCTGCCACAGATAGTTTGGATGAATATACGGACACTGTGACGTCATACATTCACTTCTGTGAGGATAGCATCATTCCAACAAGGACCAGGGTCATCTATAACAACGACAAACCCTGGTTCACTGCTAAACTCCGGCAGCTCAGGAAAGCAAAGGAGTCTGCTTTCAGGGAGGGGGACCGCAGCGGCTACAAAGCAGCTAAATATCAGTTCAGGAAAGAACTGAAAGCAGCCAAGTCCCGGCACAGAGAACGACTACAGGAGCAGTTTGGTAACAACGATACTGCTTCTGTCTGGAGGGGCCTACGGGAGATCACCAACTACAAACCCAAAGCCCCCCCCTGTGCTGACGACCACAAGCTAGCTGACGAACTGAACTTATTTTTCAGTCGCTTTGATGCTGCCCCTGACACCTCTCCCTCCCCCACCCCTCACTACTCTAACGACCCACCCTTCAGCCCTGCCCCCAGCCTAACAATAGCCGCTAAAGAGATTAAACAACTCTTCTTGAGGCTGCACCCCCG